ATTTAACCTCTTTTTTAGGTCGAGGAGGAATGGGCATGATGCGGGGCGGTTTTGGAGGAATGCGCGGAGGAGGATTTGGTGAGTTATTGTCATTTGATGAATTTATTTCAGTTAGCAGTACCGTTTTCTCATTTAACAGGTGGCATGCGAGGCTTTAGAGGAGGAGGATTTGGTAAGATCATTTTTTTTGTTATAAAAAATTTTTAATAAAATAATTGTTTTTTGTTTAAAAGGTGGCATGCGTGGTATGCGAGGCGGTTTTGGTTAGTTATATATAACTTGATTTTAACAAAAACCTAAATTAACAACTTTATTATTTTGTTTTCAAGGCGGTTTCCGAGGATAAACATTCAACTTTACTTTGAACAAAACTCTGAACAAAGCTCAAGACTGATACCTCCTCATTTTTACTGTTTATTACTGTTTATAAAAAACAAAAAGTTTTCAAATTTTTTTCTTAATAAAAATCACAGTATTTGTGCTTGTACAAAATAGTTCAACTTTAGTACAATAAAAAAAGTTTTGGCTTACGTGAGCGCCAAAAAAAAGTGTCTACACTAATCTCGGCTAGCATCAGTTATCAGCAGATCAATTTTCATCTGTCACACTACAAAAAGTATGTTCAGATGATGCGTGCTGCACATTAGCAGCAATTGATTACATAACACCACTATTGAGTCCTTGATGAGCACCAGTGTGCCAGTAATAGCAGTGATGTACACTGATAAGATTAGCGCATTTGGTTGCAATAGTGATTAATTTGACCTCTGACAGAAAAGTCAGACTGCTGCTGCTGCTCTTTCTTCTTTTTCTGAGGGTGAGAGCAAAAAAAGCATTAAAAAGGAAAGCCATCTAATAAAGCTAAATAAGGAAACAAAAACATGAATTACGTTTTGGCAGGGGGTACACTGAAAAGCAGCAGCAGCAGCAGCAGTTTGTGGTAGCGGCACTCTCAAATGTAAGAAAAGCAAGAAAGTACTCAGAAACAAGAGCTTAGCTTAGCTCAACGCTGATCTCAATGCACAAATGCGTGAGCAGCTCACGAGTGAGTGTACAAAAAAGTTTGTTTTGTGTTGATGGCTGTGAAATCGCTTGTGTGTGTCTTTGCGGCAATTGCAGCAGCAGCAGCAGCAACAGCTTTACCATCACCAAAAGGACACACACTATCTTCTGCACGGCAACAGCTCATTGTGTTCATTTTAATCAGCACTTTTTGCCGGCATTTGCTTCAGACAAACACACGCACACACGCACATATCGGACACAACTGCTCTCAGGTACTCTGCGCCGCTAGCAGCTGTTGTCTAATAAAAATGCTCAGTTTTTAACTTAATTTTCTGTCCTTTTAGTGCCTCCCATTTTCAACTTTTTTGTGTTCAGCAAATCAACAGCTGTTTTAGTTGACAAAACATACTCAATCATCTTTTTGTTTTGTAAAAATTATGGCATCTCCAAATCAACGCAAGCTCACCATTCTCTTTGTGCCTTTGGACGGCTACGGGGTAAGAAAAACCAAACAGAAAAAAACATTCTCTTTTTTTGCAAAATTGCTAACAATTCGATTACTTTCTCCAGCACATCAACGCCTGCGTCGGCATCGCCGAACGCCTGCTCGCCCACGGCCATCGGGCGGTCTTCGCGCTGGAGCAGGCGTGGAAGGGCAAGGCCAGTCGGTACGAGGGCGTCGAGGAGGTGCTCTTCGTGGACGCCACCCGCGACCCCTCCTTCGGCGCCAACGACTACTGGGTGAAGGTCTTCATGCAGGAGTTCAAGAAGAAGTTTCCCCTGGAGCCGCTCGATGCGCTGAAGGCGGCCAACCTCGAGCTGGAGGAGCAGTTTCTCTACACACTTCTAAATGTCGACGCCGAGCTGGAGAGGGTGATCCAGTCGGTGAGGCCGGATGTCATCGTCGCCGACACCTACGTCAGCATACCGGCCGTCTACAAGTCGGGCATTCCCTGGGTGTGGCTGACCAGCGCCGCTCCGCTGGTCTGTCTGCCCTCAGACGACCTTCCGCCGCATCGGACCGGTAAGCCAAAAAAACGTCATTTTTCAAATTTTGATATTAATTTTTCCACCTTTCGAAGGTTTTGCCTTGGACAGCGACCGAGCCGCCTGGGCGGAGTATCGAGCCCTCGAGAAGGAGCGTTTCACCCCCACCGGCGAGAAGTTCATCAAAAAGCTAATCACCGAGTTTGGCATGCCACCACCACCACCGGAAGGAAGTGGAGTGATGCACCCCTCTCCCTACCTGAACGTGTACGCCTACCCCGAGGAACTGGACGCCGCCTACCTCGCCGTCCGCCCACTGCCCCCAAAGTGGGCCCGCTTTGATCACTTTATCCGAGTTTCAGAAAAAGCTTCGGAAAACAACTTTTCACTTCCGGAAGAGTTTTTAAGCGGTCCAGGAAAGCTGGTCTACGTCTCAATGGGCTCGATGGGCTGCGCCGACCTTGACCTGATGAAGCGGCTTATCTCGATTTTCAGCAAATCCGCCCACCGTTTCATCTTCTCGCTGGGGCCGATGGCCGACCAGCTGCAGCCCCTACTTTCCGGTAACATGTGGGGCAGCAGTTTTGTCCCTCAAACTGCCGTTCTCCCCCTGGTCAATCTGGTTATATCCCACGGCGGCAACAACACCTTCATCGAGACGCTCTACTTTGGCAAGCCCATCCTGGTGACGCCCCTCTTCGGCGACCAACGGGACAACGCCCAACGAGTCACGGAGGCGGGTTATGGATCGAGGATTAGCCCTTATCACTGTACTGAGCAGGAGTTGTTGGCCAAGGTTGACCAGCTGTTGGGTGATGAGGCGATGAGGGAGCGGGTGAGGGCGCTTTCCAGTAGATTGCAGGCGTCGAATAGTACTGAGAAGGCGGCGCTGGCGGTGGAGGCCTTGGCCGTGGCAAAGAAGTAGTGGTGCTCTTTAAAAGTTCAGCGAAACGCAGTTCAAAAAGAATGATATTTTAAATTAGTTTTATCATTAATAAATTGGATTTTGCTAGCTGAACTGAGGCGCTTTGGATTTCATTCAGCTTGAACACGCATAATTTTTGTAAACACGTGTACCTGAGTTTTTTTTTGTTTTCAAACACAAAGTAAAAGTGTCTGTATTGGGCACAAAGTAAAAATCACACACACACACACACACACGCACATCATTGACTATTACCAGTTGTGATAGTCATACTGATGGGCAAAACCAACGACGACGATGATAGCAAACAGATGATAAGAGAGGACATTTTCAAGTCGACAAATANTGATTTCATTCAGCTTGAACACGCATAATTTTTGTAAACACGTGTACCCTGAGTTTTTTGTTTTGTTTTCAAACACAAAGTAAAAGTGTCTGTATTGGGCACAAAGTAAAAATCACACACACACACACGCACATCATTGACTATTACCAGTTGTGATAGTCATACTGATGGGCAAAACCAACGACGACGATGATAGCAAACAGATGATAAGAGAGGACATTTTCAAGTCGACAAATAACGGTGGCATTTTTGTTGATATAAAAGCCAAAAACAGCTTTGAATTATTTTATCAAAAGCATCAACAATTTTACTTGCAGTTAAATAAATAAACAAAAGCAATCTGACCAAAATGACTTCAACCGACCCAAACATCGTCAAATCTAAGCTGCCCTCCTTTCCCATTCCAAGCATTTCCATGGGCGAGTTTCTTCACTCTTGCTACGAGGAGATAATCCGCCAGCGACCAGACGCCGTCGCTTTGGTAGGGAAAAACTAAAAACTTAATTACACTTTTTTTTTAAACTTCTTTTACTTCTTTAGATTGACTCCAACTCAGGCCAAACTTTAACGCATAAGCAGCTAAGTGACGCCGCCAAGAAGGTCGCATCCGCCTTACTGGCCCTTGAAGTACCGCTAGAATCTTCAGATTTGGCGTTTTTCTTTGCCGAAAACAGTTTGCCCTTCTTCATCCTCCACCTGGCCCTCGCCTACCTCGGTCTGCCCTTCACGCCCAACAAGCCCTCCAATGGCGCCTACGAGACGGCCTACCAGCTGGAGAACAGCGGCGCCAACCTCCTCCTTATCTCCAGCGACAAACTTCCGGTCATGAGGCAGGTGTTTGAAAATCCAGAGTACGCCCATCTTCTAAAACAGCTAAAGCTGGTCGTGTTGATGGATGACCTCGATGATGAGGTGTCTCCAGAAATTAATTCCATCTTTGATTTGCAAAAGGTGGTCCCCTTTTCTCGGCTAAACTCGGCTGAAAATCAAGATCTAGCAAACTTCTCAATTCCGCATTTTATCCCCGCAGACCCCTCCACAAGTCCCTACGCCATCGTCTACACTTCCGGCAGTACCGGGCTGCCCAAGGGGGCGGTTCTCTCCCACCGGGCGTACATTAGCACCTTTCTCAGTTCACTGCAGGCAAAGTGCTTCACCGGGCACACCGACGACCTGGTGCTCTTTGCCGCCCCTTTTGGCCACATTTCCGGCGTCTACTTTTCGGGTGCTTTCCTCCTCTCCGGTGCCCGCCTCTTGGTGATTGACTCGATGCAGCCGATGAAAGTCATCAGTGCCTGGGCCCGGTATCGAGTCTCTTATGGGCTGATTGCCGCCCTTCACGGAGCGGCCATTCTCGAACTGGTGGAGTCAAAGACGATTCCCAAGGAGCAAATTCCCGACCTCAGTTGCACCCGAACAATGCTCACCAGCGGCGGGAAGTTCCACGAGAGGGTCGCCCGGGGGCTGATTGCCAAGTTCGGCCTGGAGTTCAATGAAATCTACGGCTCGACGGAGTTTATGGGCGCCGTTTTTAATAATGAGAGCAGCTGGGAACCGGGAAACCTGGGGCAGCCGCTGGCAAATGTCGAGATGAAGATTGTAGATCTGGAAAATTTGAATCATTCTCTGCCGGCAAATAAACAGGGAGAGATTTGGTTCCGAGGACCGAGCTGCTTTACTGAGTATCTGAAAAACCCGGAAGCGACCGCCTCGACGATCGACGCCGAGGGCTGGTACCACACCGGCGATGTTGGCTACTACGACTCAACTGGGTCGCTCTTCCTCACCGACCGCCTGAAGGAGCTGATCAAGTACAAGAGCTGGTCGGTGGCGCCGGCCGAGGTGGAGGCCTGCATCGGCCACCACCGCCAGGTGGCGGCGGTGTGCGTCGTGGGCGTGCCGCACGCCACCGAGGGCGCCCACCTGAGGGCGTACGTGGAGTTGAAAAAAGATGCTCTAGAAAATACAGAGGTGATCGCCGAGGAGATTGTAAATCTAGTCAAAGGTAAACAAAAAAAATTTTTTTTGATGTGTTTTTGCTAACTATACTTTTTTTTGTACAATTAGAAAACATGGGCTACATGAAGCGGCTGAACGGCGGCGTCGTCTTCATCCCGAGCATGCCTCGTATCAGCGTCGGCAAGGTGGANGAGAGGTGATTGCCGAAGAGATTGTAAATCTAGTCAAAGGTAAACGAAAAAAAATTGTTTTTGATGTATTTTTGCTAACTATACTTTTTTTGTACAATTAGAAAACATGGGCTACATGAAGCGGCTGAACGGAGGCGTCGTCTTCATCCCGAGCATGCCTCGTATCAGCGTCGGCAAGGTGGACCGAAAGCACTTTGCGGCGCTCATCAAAAATGAACTTCTCACAGAGCCGGCCCCCTCTGCTTGAGTCTTTGATAAAAAAAGTTAATGTGAGCGTTGTCAGTTTTTTATGTTATTNACCGAAAGCACTTTGCGGCGCTCATCAAAAATGAACTTCTCACAGAGCCGGCCCCCTCTGCTTGAGTCTTTGATAAAAAAAGTTAATGTTGTGAGCGTTGTCAGTTTTTTATGTTATTCAACTAATAAGTTTTTACATTAAAAAACAAAAAATTTTACTATTAGTTCAGTCTATTTCACCACTCTTTCTCTGACCACTCCTTCAGCAGGTCAAAGGTCACCTCGGCGCCGCCGCAGACGATGACCACCACTGGTCCATCATTACCATCATTGCCTTCAAAGTTCTCCTTTGGCGGAAGATCAAACTCCTTCACATCATCATCACCCTCAAGGACCCTCTTCACCAGGCCTTTGTAAACGGCGGCCAGGGCGGCACCGCACGCAGGTCCAACGATAAAGCGGTGATCATT